TTTTCTTTTTAGTAATAATAAGCTAATACGGATATTTAAAAGTTTTGAATAAATTAAAAATTTTATTTATCAAATTGCATTATCAAGATTTTTTACATAATCTTAAATTATTTTGTCATACTTTTCACATAGACCATTGTATATATTTCATTATTATTGCATTTCGATGGAAAATAGATGGAAAACTGCAATTAAAAAATCTCTGAAATAGAATTAAATGTACGGTTAAAAATCGAAATCGTTTAATCAAAACAAAGAAAGTAAAATAAAGCAAAATAAAATTAATTTTTAAAGATTCTGGATAAACTCGATAGTTGAGTGTTCAATAAACTGAAAGTGAAAGGAACAGAAAGAAATTCGACTTAATGAAATTTTCAATCATATAATTTTTTTTTTTTTTAATTCAGCTTCAGAAGAAATTTATTAAAAAAAAATTATCTCCTTAGAATATGTTACGTATTCAACATCACGAAATTAAAAATTATTGCTTTCATTAACGATAAAGTTATCATTGTAAATTTAAACCATAACAATCAGTGGGATTTTGAAGAAAATAATAATAACATTAAATTATACGCCTTTAATGGACTAACAGAAGTTAAAAGATTTTCCTTGCGTTTCGGTATTATTTCTATGGAGAGATATTAAGTTTATTTCGAAGCATAAAACACAAAACAATCAGCTATACCCTCCACAAGATTCGATCTTCGGATCTTTGTAGAGACATAAGGTATTTTTGGGGAAGCAGGCAAGACGAAAAATTAGTAATCGCCTTCCCCGGGAATCGAACCACAGATTTCTGAAATACCTGCTCAGTGTGCTGACCACTGCACCACGAAGGCAAGCTAGAAAGGCGGGAGAAATACCTTATAAACATTGCTAGCGGAAGTGCTACCAGTTACACCACGCGAGTACGCAGTAGGGAAGTCGAAAATTTGTTAAGTCGGTTGCCTCTGTTAGCCCAGATGGAATATTAGTCTGGAAACGACTTTTTACGTAGAATCACTTATCCAATCACTTTTCAAATTGCTGCCTCTAAATATTATCGTCCTGTATAATATTTAAAGAAATTAAATAAGGAAGAATCTTCATGAACGTATGTATGTTTCTCGCATTGTGAAAAAAACAATGATACTTAAAGCCATCAAATTTTGATTTGACGAAAAAATAGAATGTTACTTTCCGGTCTATTTTTATTTTCTCATTTAAAGTTATTTAACGAAAAAATAAGTTTTACCTTTCTGTATGTTTTGTTTTCATAATTTCTGTTTATTATGTCTGATGCAATTTTAGCCAGAGTGTTATTTTTTCTTGAAAAAAAATTAGGACAAAGTGAAGAATCTGAAGAATTCCTATTGATTATACAAAAATTTAATTAATTAAAGTACAGAGTTAAAACCAGAATAATGTACATCTATTTCTGCTTTAAAACAACAGATACGTTCCTGATTGCTTTAAAAAAAAAAAAAAAATGTATCAACGGAAGTCGAGAAGACAGGCTCCACATCTGAAAAATCAACGCACAGTATTTAAAGAAATCTGATGCGGACATCACATGACTTCCTAATCCGGCGTGTTAAATTATACACTTTTTTTTTTTTTTTTTCTGCCCTTCATTTAAACTTATTTCCTCGAGTTATTTTAACTTAATAAATCAATCTCTCGAGGCAAGTTGAAAATGACATCAAAAATTGCAAATTTTGAATTTAAATACCAAGATCAATTTTTGTCGAGTAGAAGTCAAACTTCTTATAATTTTTTTTTTTCCCCCACAACGATTTCAAAAATAAAGACCAGGTAAAGGGGTGGGTGTGTATATATGTATATGTATATATATATACACACACGTTTGGTATTGCCGTACAATGAAAAAGGAGAGTGCACAACTAGGTATAGCAGGCCCATGTACAAAATTTCAACGTTCTACGGCTAATCACTTTTGAGTTATGCCAGACAGATATATACGTACGTACGTCCGTATAAACGTAACAAAAAATTCCTTTTGAATCCGTTTTAAACCCATTTTACAACCCGTTTCAGAAAAAAAAAAAAAAAAAAAAAAAAACGTTTATTTTGTCCGTACGTACAGACCTCACGTAAAGGAATCGTCCAAATAGGTTCAGGAACGGTAAAATGGGTATTTCCCTTGAAGTATGATACCAAAATTTTTCGCGATTGCAATACTTCCTTTACTTCGTACAAGGAAGTAAAAATACACCTGAAAATATTCGTTTAAAACTTATTGTATTTCAACCAGTTACATGCGTAAATAATAGTATGTAATAAAATGTAGTAAATTTGTATTTGAAGTGAAAAAAAATGTTCATCAATAAAAAAAAAAGTTTTACATTATGCATTTTTATTTTCTGACAGTAAACCTCGCCTACGTTTGCGTACGACTGGAATACCGCTCTTATCACTAGAAGCGGTGTCGGCATCTTCCTCTACTACTAAAATTCTTTCTGTGATCTCTTGGACAAAACCAGCAGGAGTCTCCGAACTAAGTCTTGACAAAATGATTACCCAATTCTCTGGCGAGTTCCAGATCTTCTTTTATTAAATCTATATTTAGAATTGGATCATTTTCCTTCATTATCACAACGTTTTGTGGGATTAGAAGTCTCAAAGACAACTTTTAATGTTTCATCTTTACTTAAAATTTTGTCGATTAATTATTCATCAGATTCCTCAAATGACAGGTCATCGAATCCTTAGTTATGTTTTAAAATCATTACGACTACCAAAGTCCAGCTTCATTTTCCCTAATAGTTCTTATATTAGTTTAATGTACACCAAAATGCTTTCCTATAGATTTTAACAGCTTGTTTATCTAAAACGGTCTAAAATCGAGATCTAGATTAAAACCTAAAATCTAGACGATCTAAATATTATTATACTCAAAAATGTCGCATTTGCTTTGATTTTGGTAATACAACTTTATGTGACATTATATAAAGGCTTTTTAAAATATTTCATTAATTATTAACAAAGAAAAGATATGAAAAATTTGAAAATATATAATTTATTGACTTTCAGCAAAATTAATAAATTAATAAATTTATTTGCGCACAACTTTCACTGACGATTTTTTCACTTTGAAATAGAGCCACATACTAAATGTCTTCCGAAGATGCAAAACGGCGGTTCTAGCTCTAAATGCACGCAACTTGGAAGCAGAAGGAAAAAAGAAAAAAAAAAACAGTACATTTAGTCATATGACTTAGTACTCGTCGTGGACAGGTGCTTCATTTTCCTGCTCTAGCTGTTGTGAAATCTGTCGTGCTTGCGTGGTAACGCGTGCAAATAAAAATTATTTTCTAAGAATTCAGCACCTCCCCCTCCCAAAAAAAAATAGAAACTTGCTTATTCCGCTGATATTTAAAAAAATGACACACACACACAAAACAAAACAAAAATATTTCATTTGAATTCGCGTTAACTCAAATTCGCGAGGGAAAAGGTTCGTGTACAAATAGGTGTGATTAATTTGTTTATCAATTTCATCATCAAGTATAGCCACACCTACGAAAATCAGAAGACTCACATATTCATATGCCACCATGAGCTTCAAATGTTGATTGCGCAACACTAGGGATTTGGCTGCCCAAAAGTTTACAAATTCAGGCTTCCCTGCGAATCGCTAATCAGAGTGTGAGGCAACAATCCATTGTCTGAATTTTAAAGAAAGATGTAAAATAATAAAATATCAAACTTAAAACTTTGTTCCTTCTCCGAGTTTTATGTTACTGAAATCTAAAACTTAAAGCAATGATATCAAATTTTACATATTTTAGATACTCGTATTATAAAAAGATTCTGAGGCATGCCTGAAAGAAGCCTGTTGCCTGTTCGTTGAAGCCTGATGCCTGTTGCACATGTTCGTTTGCCTTGTACGAATCAGACCCTGTATGCAAGCGACAGTCTTTGATTACAGTCGATTTTTCTATCGATTTCGTATTTCATTGACAATAGACTGTTTTCTCCAAGAAGTAAAATTTCTACCAAGAGGTAGCCAAGGAAAAACAAGCTTGCTTTTCCAAAAAGCTGATTTTCTTTCTTTTTTTTGCTTGTTGAAGAAGTAGGACCTATGTCAGACATCCTGGAAATCAAGAAATAAATCTACGACAATATACGTTTTTCGCTCTAATTTTATAATTTATTTAAAATTATTTACCCCCCCCAAAAAAAAAAGAAGAAGAAGAAGAAAAGAGAGGGGAAAAAAAAAAAAAGCTTTGTGAAGCTAACTATGCAGCCTAGAAATCAAAGAACTTTACATTTAAAGTTCTACGAAAGAAGTATTCATAACCTGTATGGTTTTGTCATTTTAGTTTATTCAGAAAGAAAAGTATAGAAAACAATTTCAGCCTTATTGAAAGAAACTCTAAATTTAATAATTATGTCAAAATTTTTAAAAATTCGACTTAATCGAAAAAATTAATTTTAACATATTTTCGTGTGGTTTTCATTGAGTTTCGCTTTTCGAAAAGTACGAATTATTGAAGTTTAAGTAACTTAAGTTCTGCTGCAATAATAACAAGCAAGAATTTCAAAATCATACATCAATGCAATAATGAAACCAACACCATTTTATAATGAAATCTTTCACCATCGATATTTCGATATAATTAATCCTGTGTGACGATATTTTTATCACCAGAGATAGCTGCATCTGAAACAGCGCAATGATTGACATTCAAGTGCCAAGCTTCAAGAAGAAGAAAAAAGAAGACATCCAAGTATAAACATAACCTGTTCTTACGATAACAGCAGTAAATTTAATTTAATCGAAAATCACCTAAAACTGTGCCCATTCCGTAAGGTTTTAAATTTTATTAAACTCTTAAAAAGATGTTCAAAAACTAAAATAATTATTTAAAAGCCGACATCGAATGCCTTACTGATTCTTTATTCCAATAATAGTGTATGTGGTATTATGGGTAAGATCTTACTTAAGAACGGCAAAAGCCAACCGTCAGATTCGCCAAAGTATTGCCAGATGGGTGCAGCATTTGCTAGGTAAAGAAGAGAGAACGTCTATAAAAGTAGGCTATTGGATTACGTGGCGCTTCAGAATTTTGGAGTTATGTTTTCGGATGGTAGTTGTGAATGGTGTTTGCTGACTTCAAAATTTTGGTTAGATACCTGAAGTTTCTTAAACGGTATTGATTTTAACTGGTGTTTCTTCAAGTAAATATCTGCACCGGCATTGGTGGCAAAAAAAAAGGTAATACGTCCATTTTTAGTAGAAAAGTTTAATTCAGCTTCTGTTGCATGACTGTGGTAACTAACCATTTAACTGTTTCTCTAGTAAATAGGAGTCAAAGCATTAAAATTATTACTACTCTGAAGGAAAATTGTTTAAGACGTTTTAATAGCTATTTGCATGCGATTTATAGCGTCTATAATATTTAACTTGCCTGTTTTTTGTAACTTATATTGCAACTTTTTGTAATTTATAACTTTGCATTTATAATGTTTAACTTAGCTGTTTTTTGTGACTTGTATTACAACGTTTTGTAACTTATATTGTTTTCGTATTTTTGAACATAACTTACCTTAACTTTGTTTTTTGTTTTAAGCTTTACACAAGATAAGAAATTAAGATTATCTTTGAGAGTTACCACCATTTTGCTTCAAAGAGCAAAATAGTGGAAAAAAAAAAAAAAATGTGTGTAATGTTTTATTTCATGCTTTCGACTTTTGCTATTGTAACATGTTGTTGAAATTTCTACAAAAGTTTGCGTCAAATTCTTGAGTTCATGATTGATTTAAAAGTATAGTGTCAAATTTAGGATATTTTAATTTTAAAGGAAGATGAAATTACTGATTTCAGAAACTAGTGTTTGAAAAGTGTTAATTAATGTTCAAAGCGTTAATTTAAAAGAATGAATTCAAAGTTTTGTATGATATAAGCATGAACTACATATTTTATTATAACTAAAACTACAAAAACGAAAATTGCTCTGATCCTGTTTTATAGGAACTCGAATTGTAAAATAATTTTGTAATCTGTTTCCAGTTTTTTAATTGGTTTGATTCTAAATTTAAGTAGAAACTAAACTTGAGTGAATATTAGTTTTAAGAATTCTGATTAGTTTAAGCGCAAAATTTAATTTGAAAATTGTAGCTAGCATATAGCACATGCTAAGGGTTTTAATTGAAATATGGTCAGTTAGTTCATGTTGTATATCTAGTAAGTCATTTTGATAGTGTTTCTAAACTTGCGAGTTCTATATTGTTTCGAGTTAATTAGCTATATTAATGAACTATGTTATATTCTTGTTAGTTTTTATTGACCTCTAAGCCATCACTGTTCAGCACTATTCACTTTTCCATTCATGCCAATGACATGTAATTTCCATGTAATAAATGCATGTAAAATGAATTTTGTTTTTAAACACGATCAGAGTGATAATTTGTAATTAATAGTGTTAAAGCATTATAACATGAAACTATATTGTTATATATTACGAATTATATTCGTAACATTATTCGTATATGTTGCGAATAATATTACAAATTAATTCGGAATATTTGTTAAAGCAAGTTAATATCCTTCATTAACACGAGATTTCTAATTGGAAAAATTTGAAAATGTGCGAAGTTTTACGAAAAACCATAACCTCGCAGTTTAAGACATGTTGATGTTAAGAGTAACGAGTTTATGAAATTTGTGTCTGTAGTACTTAATTAATGAAATTTGTGTCTAAACTTTTGTGTCAATTTTTAAGACTAAATTAATGTCATGTAATTTAAATAAAACGTAAGAGAAACGCGCAACATAAAATTAGCAAAGCAACAACCTTGCGTTTGGCGTTAGATAAAGTCAAAAACTCAAATCTTTAAAAATGTTACATTAAATAAACTGAGTAATAGGAAAATCGCCAAGAAACGCTGTTAAAAGGTTTTTGCTATGCATTTTGAAACACTCTCGATCTGAAGCTTTTAATTCGATCCAAAAATAAATTTCGAATAACATTAAGGAAGAGATTTTACATATTTATTAATCCACTGTTTGATTAGTGAACAAATTAAACAGGAAGTAACTGATACAAATTAAAATAAATTCTGAAATAAAATTCTTCTTAGCCTTTTTAGCGGAATTTGTCAGTATCTGCCATTTGCTAAAGCCAAGCAACCATTAAGGAAATTTTTCTTAATTTGAATGACACCAATTGTGTAATTTTCCGAAAATATTAGATTACTAATTATTTAGGTAAAAATAAATTTAATCGTAAATTAAAAAAATCTCTGATCAATTTATTTTTCTTATCACTAATATGAGATCTCTGCTGTGTCTAAATTGGACAAAATCGATTTGTCCAATTTAGAGAAAGTGCAAGAAACTGTAGAATTATTGGTTTAGATTACTGATTATGTGAATTTTTCGTGTAGTTCTGAAAATTCGACGTACGCTTCGTAAAATAGTCTGCTTTATCTAAGTGAAACTTGAACATGTTGTTAACCTGAAGTAACTTGATTGCTACACATGAAAAGTATGCGTCTCTTTCGCGGGGAAAATGTTAAACAATTTTCTAGTTTCGTAAAATGAAAACTGAAGTCAAGCGACAGTCATTTTCATCACATGTTGCGCTTTATGAGGTGTTGCGTTTAAAAATTCTTTCAGAATGGTTTTTAAAAGGTTAAAGTATGTTGAGCTATCATTTTACGTCTGTTCCATAAAATAACTTTAAAAATAGCTTCTAAATTCTATAAATTTCTAGTTTTCTTCAAATGTTTGCAATTATAAGAGCACAAACTCATAATTTTTTAATTCACTTTTTAAACCTCTATTAAAGCTTTTACCTCTCTTACTTAATATTTATTTCATAACTTGTTGTCAACTATTTATTTCGTTAAATATCCCCTACGACTTCACGTGAGCTTCACTTCTACATTAACACTTTAAACAAAATTTTAAGCATACAGCGGAAATGTGTTAATTTTTTAAATCCGCCACAATAGCCCCAAATAAAGTTTCTAAATATCAGTTAAGCATTGGCCCTTTACTTAAATCCTCTGCGCAACGATTGTAAGGCTGTATTTTCAGCAGTTATGGAGGTTAATTTGTAAGGCTTGATAATGTTTTCTTGTGAGAAATATAAATAGGTTTCCCTTAAACTCATCTGAAAAATTGGCTGAATTGATAAGATCATTGAGCAGCGATAGTTTGACTCGAACTCGTAATTTTAGCGAATGCACTGGCTGCGTGTTGGTTTCGTGTACTTTTTCATGTGTAGAGCAAAATAAATGAGTTACCTTTAGAAAATCTTTCACGGAGGCATCTTTGAGGCAGAACTTCGCTTGCTTTTTCGCATGTAACTAACAAACTAAGTTGAGGATAATATCAATTATTCGAATTTTGAAAATTTGAAATGTTACTGTCGAACAAAGTTTACTAAAAGTTTAACACTTCTGGATTAGACACCTATTTCGATCGACGCTGAAATTTTCGGATCTTCTGTTTTAGAATAACTTACTACAAAATATTGTGGCCACGAGCGGTAAAGTAGCTGAATACTGGTAGTTTGATTAAAGGTTCGAATCCTACGAGCGGACTGGCTGCATGGGCGTTTTCCGTAGTTTTTCCCATGTGTAACGTGTGTATGAGCCGATTTTCCTTAGAAAGTTCTCCTTCCTACAGAGATGGCATATGCGCCAATATTCATTATTGGCTACGATTAAATTAAAATATTTTTCTCCTTTATAGCAGCATTCATGTTTCCAAAGTAAATATATCTGTTTTTCAAGTGTTCTTGATTTATTAAAATATCTAACCTGAGTGATATAAATGTTCAGAAAAAATTTACCGGTACTCTTCCGTTATCGGGTCCGGAATCCGAAGTGTGCGTATGTATATATGTATGTGTGCGTAAGTATGTATATACGCTCACATATACACACATTTCTGAATCCGCTCCCGATAACGGAACAGTATCTCTTCACCTGATTAGAAATGAAATATTTTTTTTTTTTCTATTGGAAATTGGTGCGTATATCTTGACGCGGATATAATGCTGTTTAGTTCATCATAACCTGGGCCCACCAGCAGCCCAGCTGCAAAGTCTCTGAACACTGGAAGAACCTTAGAAAGTCTTCCTCGAAGGCATACCTCCCCTTAGGCCAATAGTCTTCGCGTGCTTTGCTATAAATAAACCAGTATTTATCATAACCGTAATGTCATGTCATTGTTTTATGGAACCTTTTTCTAACCCTATTAAAAATCTGAGGATTTAATTTTGCTTCATTATTGATATACACCTTGCACAACAAATGAACAGTTCTGTATCTCCCGTTCTAATGGACCGATTAACGAAATATAACTTTCGTTTTTCATGTCTCTAAAGTGCAACTTGGGGTATAAATTAGATTTATATATCATTGCCCTAATATATTTGTTCTGACACAAAATCGGATTTTTTGTGAAATGACGTACCAATTTTTTCCATATTTCGATTCTACGACTCAAATTACGTCGAGGTGACAAATTTTGTGAAAATCGCACGAGTTGTTTTTAAAAAAAAAATAGCTCTAAAAATTTTAGCTCCTCCGTGTTAACTGAATTTGGTATACATTCATTCATATCTTCTTTATAAAACTTGATTCCCTCTTTCACAATTCGAAGCTTGCTTTCAGTTCGGAATAAAATTCGCAGATATTTTCTGATTTATTTTTAATTTCTATTTTTTTAGAAAATTCTGTAAATTTTTTGAAAAGCTATGAAATTTTTGCCGTTATCTTAAAATTGATATGTATTTCTAGACATAACCTGCAAAAAATTAGTTTTTATTCAAAATCTCAAACGTGGAATTATATATTGGTTCTGAAATTTCCCATATTTGTTATAAGTGATAACACCAGATGTGGTTTACAGACTTTGTCTGAAAAATATTTTAAATTTATTTAAATGAATGAACGATGTATCTTTTTTCACGCACAGAGATACAAGGCAAAGAAAAATGGGTATTACAAATTTTAAGATTTCGCCAAGTGAATTGTTCTTGGGGTAAACAGGAAAGTGTGCGCTAAGGTAAGTTTTAAATTTCTCCAAGTTTCTCACTGAATTTTATAAAATTTAATATTTGGACATAATTTGGTCATAGGAATAGAAATATGGAAAAAAATCAGTTTATCATATCAGAAGTCCGATTTTGTGTCAAAATACCTGTTAGAACAATAATGTATGTATGTAAATCTAATATATAGCTTAAGTCGCGAGCTTTCGAGACATTAAAACAAATTAAATTTTCTCAATGGCCCAGTAGAACGGGACATATGAAACTGTCCCCTTTTTTGTGGTGTGTAGAGTGTACATTGCTAATGTAATTCCTATCCAATGTCCTTGCGTAGAAAACTGGCATTTTAAGCGTAATTTTATTGAAAATCTTGTTTTTAATTAAACAAAAGCTTTTTTTTTTTTTTTTGTCTCGTCTTCAAATTTTTTTGACTTGTCGAAGTTGGTCTACATTTGAAATCGCTTTGCCCATTATTTTGAAAATGTTATTACTCGAAGCATTTCTTTTACTAATAAACTAATAAACTGACTCTTGTAACCCTGCGCTGGCTTTGCTTCATAACGTAACCAACACTTTGTTTAGGAAACCCAGTAAGCATTTGGTTATGAATCAAGTAAGGACGATACTAAAAACATTAAATAAATACGTTTTTATCTGAAATTAATAGTAATCCGCTTATTTAAGTAGTAAACTGGAATAATTTAGACGAAGTTTCATCGAAACTCCTTTTTTATCATTCAAAATCTTTATTCCTTCTTTTTTAAAGCTTTTCGATTATCGGCTTATCGAAGTTCGACTGCCTTGTCCCACTATATTCAAAATTCTTTACTCAAAGGTGTTTCTTTTACCAGTAACTTGATTTTTCTAACCTTACGGTAGTTTTGCTTTATAATCCCAGCTCTTCGTTTAGAAGCCTCGGTAAGCATTTGATATACATGGTACTCGCAAAGTATGAAATCCGGCATTCTATAGAATACCTAAGCATTTTATAGAATGCCGAAAACTGGCTGCCAATGTATGCAATGATTAAGCATTACTAATAGATGCCAGATAACAAACCGGTAAAGTAGGAAGTACACCTGCATAATGCCTCGGGAAAGTATGCAAAAAGTTAGATTTCTACTGACTGGAACTTCAGAAAGAATTTTAAAACAACCATATACGAGATTACCGTTTAGTTTAGGTTCTGAGAATTTACTTAGAATTGTACATATTCTTGAGCACGAAATTCCTTTCGCGTCAGTTACAATTGCACAGTCCAGCGGAAATTGCCAAGCATTTGTGAAGCTTATAAGGTGCGGAAATATGAAATATCTTGTGTGAAAAAAAGTAGTGAAATGAATTCAAAATGTCATTCAAGCCTACCATATTGCAACAAATAGGTTAATTATAATTATTTTTATATGAAAATTGTTTTCCTCAATAAGAAGGGCATACATTTTTTCGAACATTTTCTTTGTGTTTTGAATAAAAAATCTTTAATGGCATTATTTTTCAAAATAACATTTGTATATCTGAGGGATGAGTGTCTTTCAAATAACCTTAAGGTCTCTTTTGCATATTTTGCCTAAAGAGCATTTGTATTTCTATAGAAAGGTATTACGTACAATGCCTACATAAAGTATATAATAATTCTCGTATTTATTATTTTGCCTAATATGTTAGGCATTCTTTAAAGTACCGAGGTATTCTATAGAATGCCGGCGTTTTATTCTTTACCGGTAACATGTATAAAATTACACAAGGCTGAGAGCTTGAGGTAAATGTCGCTTTTATTCTGGAGCTAATGGTTAATATCCAAATAAAATACTTCGAATATATTTAAAAATTAATTTCTGTCATAATTTTACTCATATTTACATCATGTAATTTAACTAATTAACATTTTTTATTATTTACTAGTTGTTTTTAGAGAAGACTGGAGGAAAATAAAACCAGAAATGGTTGTATTTTCTGCACCAGTTTTCACTCCTATTGGACCAACACTGTTAAGGAGCAGATATCTCCGGATATTTTCTATCACTACGACGCCGGCTATTTTGGCTTTGCCGATTGTAAAACGAACTTGGTAAGTGAAATTATAGTATTGCTTTAATGTATATATGTTAACCAATTCTTCATGCAGCATTTACTCTCAAAAATAACAAAAAGCCGAGTTCAGTTCTTCTCTGTTTGCGATATTGGACTTTCTTCCACTTTCATTCGTAAGAAATAAATATATCTCACCTAATGTATCTTCTACGAAGTTGCTCCTTCTGTATATAATTATTGAACTTACAGCTCATAAATATACTATCTAATCTCATAAACTGGATTGCCGATTTGAAAAACAAAGTTCTAAACATGGCATGAGTATTTGCTACTGCAAATAACTTTGGGCTGCGATACACGCATCGGCTTAGAAACAAAACTAATTCCTTGAGATTTAAAGTTTGAATCCAAAAGAGGAAGATGAAATGTTGGTCCTTCTCCAGTTCGAATAAGTAGTTTTGATTGTAGCCCTTCTCTTGATAGAGAATATTTTAAGTCTTATCTTGTAAATATAGCCACGGTTAATACATCCTGGAAGCCGCTACGGGTCAAGTGGATAACACCGTTGAACACTGGCAGTTTAATCCAGCTTCAAATCCCTATGAGCGCTCGTGTTTTTCCCCATGTTTAACGTGGATACAAGCTAGTTTCCCTTAAGAAAGCTCTCCACGAAGTCGCGTCCCTCAAGGGGCTTTTCCGTCTCCTCTCCTCTTGGCTGAAACTTTTTTCCTTCCCTTCTCCCTTGTGGTTTCTCTCTACGGAGTTTGGGGCTCGTCACGAGAGACTGGAGCAGTCCTTGCATCTAGTTTTCGAGTGGCGAGAAAACTGCCCGCGTGTTTGCCGTGCGTGGAGACCCGTGTCGCTGGAAAGGAGGGTCCTGGTAGTTGAGGGGCGAGGTACTGTCCCCAACACACTGCTTTGGCCTCTGCTTCAGCTAAACGGGAGGCACCTTAGTCGTCCTCACGGGTGTCAATCGGCTGGTCACTAGTCCTTGTGTCAGTGGCTTGGGGTCAAGCTCTCTCGGGAGTACCTGCTTTCGGGAAAGCCGACTGTGGGGCTTCAGTTTGCGTATAGGTCCGGCTAGCCCTAACACAGGAATCTGTGTTCCCTTGTTGGGCTCCGTGGTGGGCGGGGCCGTCGGACCCGAATCTTTTCTTCTTCAATATGGCAAATTCACATATTTTTCTACTAAAAGATTTTGAAGTCACTCCAGTCTCTCAACCTAGTTCTGAAACGTCTACTACTAAACCAGTCACTCAACCTAGCTCTGAACCACCTACTAATAAACCAATCATTCAACCTAGTTCTGAAAAGTCTACTACTAAAAAACCAGTCACTCAACCTAGTTCTGAAAATTCTGCAAAAAATTACGGACAGATGCAAATAAAAAAAATCATAACAATAGTCCCCCGTTTCCTAGTCATCTCTAGTCCTTCTGGCGAAATGCATAAGATGTCTCCTTTCGTAATAAACAAATACATCCAGTCTTGTATTGGTGAGCCGAGAAATATAAAGCGTCTCCGCTCCGGAGACTTGCTTATTGATACAAACTCAGCCACCCAGTCTGCTTCTTTACTTCAGATAACTAAACTTGGGCAAGCGAATGTCACTGTAACACCCACATAAGTCACTGAAAACTATTGTCGTGGGTGTAATCTCAGAATTCGACCTTCTGTATGTTTCTGAAGAAGAGATCGCTTCTGAGCTATCCGAACCAAAATGTCTGCGGTGCTAAGGCGGATCAAGATGCGTAAAGAAGGTAAGTTGATAGACACGAAACACGTGATCCTTACCTTCAACACGCCTGATCTGCCTAAGAATATTAAGGCCGGATATCTAAATATGTTCCTGTAAGACCTTATATTCCAAACCCTATGCGATGCTTTCCAGTGCCAGCGCTTCGGCCATTCTAAGACTTCTTGTCGTGGCAGCCTCACGTGCGCCAGATGCTCACAGATTGGCCACGATTCTGAAAATTGTACCGCTGCGCCTCTTTGTATAAATTGCAAGGGTGAGCACCCAGCATTTTCACGCCTGTGCCCAAAATGGAAATTGGAAAAAGAAGTGCAGACTGCAAAGGTTACGAGGAACATTTCATACGCCGAAGCCAGAAAGTTAGTCCAAAGCACACAGCTACGACCAAATACATCTTACGCCAATGCTCTTTAAAAGATCTCGTACAGTTGCCACCCAAACATCAATTAGGTATGCAGACTCCACCAAACAAAAAACTCAACAGACTACAAACAACAGGAAGAAAGAAAACCCAACCCATACAGTACAAAATAAAGAAATAGTAATTCAAAGCAAACCCAAAACTACCACACAAAAAGAAACAAATAAAAATAGAAGTTCCAGCAATAGCTCTCTTGATGGAATGGTTTCTGAATCTGCGGATTCAGACGGTATGGAAGTAGAAGAGGGTCTGGAAGTTCCCAAGCATCTACTTCCACGAAAAACAAAACAAGAGCACAGAAAAAACAAAAACCATTCATAATGGCCACCCTCATCTCATGGAACTGTCGCGGTTTCCACCGAAATTTGCTTGACATCAAATCTATAATAAATGCGTATCATCCTGTGTGCTTAGCAATACAGGAAACAAATCTGAAACCAGAACAACATGCAAAACTTCGGAGGTTTTCTTTCGTCAGGAAAGGATAACCTTGCAGGTGAGCGTGCCAGTGGAGGTGTAGGTCTCCTCACCTCACTGGATTATCCCTCAAATGTACTTTCTTTGACGACATCCCTCCAAGTTGTCGCTACTCAAACAAATTTTGATATTGTTGTTTCATTTGTTTCTTTGTATTTGCCTCCAAATGAGCACATTGATCAGCAAGATTTAAATAATCTAATAGAGCAGCTGCCTGAGCCTTTTATCATAATAGGAGATTTTAACGGCCATAGTCCACTCTGGGGTAGTAAAGATACAAATTGCCGAGGAAGACAAATTGAGCAGATGATCGAAGATCATAGCCTTTGTCTCCTAAATAATGGGCAGGATACGTACTTCCATGAGCCTTCAAGGACATTCCACGCTCTCGACCTTGCCATCTGTTCACCATCTCTGTTGCCATTTTGCACTTTTAGTGTCGGAAATGACCTGTACAACAGCGATCATTATCCCATTTTTGTGTCTCTTGCACGAAGAGGAGCAAACCCCATGTCGAGACTCCCTCGGTTTTATACTGGACAGGGCAGACTGGGAACTCTTCTCTTCCATTGCAGAGCTCACAGAGGAAATGGTAGAAGATGTGCATATCGATGACGCTGTTGGAAGCTGTTACTAATACTATTATTCAGGCAGCTATGCTTTCCATTCCTAGAACATCAGGAAAAATACTGAAATATTCAAAACCGTGGTGGAATCGCGATTGTCATGAAGCACTGAAAAAACAGAAAAAAGCATGGGGTATTTTTTCGTAGATATCCTACTCTGCGAAACCTCATAGCCTTTAAAAGAGCCAAAGCAAATGCACGAAAAGTAAGAAGGCAGAGCCAGAGGGATTCCTGGATTTCATATGTGTCCTCAATAACATCCTCTACGCCTAGTAAGCGGTTTGGGAAAGAGTTCGAAAAGCATGCGGAATATATAAAGACCACACTCACTTTCCTTTTTGGAAAAAGATGGCCGAGTGATTAGCTCCATAGAAGAAATTGCAAATACTATTGGTGAGACATTTGCTGCCGTTTCTTCCAGCAGAAACTATTCACCTGCATTTCTCACTATCAAGCAACACTCTGAAATAAATCCCATCGCATTCAACTCTTCCAAATCTGAGCCTTACAATAGAGCATTTACTATGGTTGAATTAAAGAGAGCTTTGTTGCAGACACATAGGTCTTCTCTCCGGGTCTTGATGGCGTAATTACGAAATGCTAAAGCATCTGTCCTATAAGTCACTGAGTGCCCTTCTCACACTTTACAATAGAGTGTGGAAGGAGCGTACATTTTCCAGTGCATGGAGGAGAGCTGTTGTCATTCCTATTGCGAAGCCAGGGAAAGACCCAAGGAATCCCTCGAACTATCGGCCAATTGCCCTTACCAGTTGTGTTTGCAAACTGTTTGAAAAGATTGTAAACAGCCGCCTAGTCTACTTCTTGGAAAATAATAATATTATATCGCCTTATCAACGTGGTTTTCATAAGGGAAGAACAACTGTAGATAACATGCTCCTCTTAGAGACATCCATTCGAAAAGCTTTTGTCAAGAAGAAATCACCTTGTCTCAATTTTCTTCGACATAGAGAAAGCTTATGATAAGGCATGGAGATACGGTATACTTCGCGATCTTCACGAGAGTGGCTTGCGCGGCAACCTACCAATTTTCATTCAGAATTTCCTGACCGCTAGAACTTTTCAAGTAAGATTTGGCTCTGTTTTTTCGGATGTTTTTCAACAGGAAGAGGGTGTGCCTCAAGGTTGTGTTCTTAGTGTAACGCTTTTCAGTTTAAAAATAAATTCTGTATTAAAAGAACTTCCTCCCACCATCTTGGGATCACTCTATGTAGATGATTCACAGATTAGCTGTCGAGGAGCAGACATGAGATACATAGAGAGGCAATTGCAGATGGCTCTGAATAAGATCCAAGAATGGTCAGACAAACAGGGATTTACTTTTTCGAAACAGAAAACTGTGTGCGTGCACTTTTGTAGGAAGCGAGGTCTCCATCCTGAACCTGAGTTATATCTAAATGGTACAATTATTCCAGTTGCGCCCGAAGTAAAATTTTTAGGAGTGACGTTCGACCGAAAATTGACCTTCCTTTCTCATGTTTTAAACCTGAGAAAGAAGTGTCTAAAAACACTAAATATTTTAAAAGTGTTGGCGAACACCTCCTGGGGTGCAGAGCGTTGCTCCATGCTTCGCATTTACAGAGCGCTTATCCGCTCTAGAACTGGACTATGGCTCAGTTGTTTATGGATCCCGCTCGGTCATCTGTTTTGTTAAAACTGGATCCTGTTCACCATCAAGGTCTGCGGATTTGTTCAGGAGCATTTCAGGACTTCTCCTGTACAGAGCCTATATGTTGACTCTAACGAACCATCACTTTATCTGAGGCGCGAGCAATTGTCCCTTTTGCAATATTTTAATATTCTATCCCAACCTGAACATCCCAATAAGCTGTGCTTACTTGATAATGAGTGTAACACATTATTTGAAACACGTCCATCCTGTGTTCCTACTTTTCCTTTAAGAGTTCGCCCTGTCATTGAGGAACTCTCCCTCTCTGATATGCACCCCCAAGCAGTACAGAATTTTGAAATTCCACCTTGGGAAAATTCACGGATCCAGCTTCTTGATGTTTTCAAACATCACGTAAAGGCGAGCACTAACGAGATCGTTTACAGACAACTTTTCGCTGAGCACAGGCACAGATATAGCAGTTATTATCCGATATACACAGATGGATCAAGTCAAATGATCATGTCGGGATGGCTTTTGTATTTGAAAATTACATGAGGGCAGATGCCTGCACCATGCTTTTTCACTCCTAACATCTGAACTAACTGCAATATATTATGGTCTTTTGTACATCTCAAAGCTCTGCCACAAAAAATTCATAGTTTATACAGACTCGTATAGTGCTCTTAAATCCTTGGAAGCTTTTCCCACACGCAGAATCCTGTGGTAGTGGATGTTCTCAAAATTCATAGAAATTTAACAATTCGAGGATATGAAGTTCCTGTACTGCTGGGTTCCCTGGACATGCTGGAATAAAGGGAAATGAGCTTGCAGACATCGCAGCCAAATATGCTGTTGAACCGTCCAGTCGCCTTAATCCTTTTAGAGACATCTGCTGTGTCATCAAGGGGGAAGATGCGAAAAAAATGGCAGCAAATTTGGGATGTTCAGCATCACAACAAGTTGAGAAACGTCAATCCTAGAATTGAACTTTGGGAAATTACTGGAAATCGTAAGGAGGACGTTCTTTTGACTCGCCTCAGAATTGGTCACACTAGAGTCACACATAACTATCTTCTCGAAAGCTGAAAATGAGCCTGTTTGTTTTAATTGTAATGTTTGTTTATCTGTTCGTCATATTTTAATTGAGTGTCCATGTTTTAATAGTCTTCGCCAGAAATATTTTAATAGCTGTGACTTACCTCTCGACCGTTTAATCGGAAGAGAGGTCAATTGTAATTTATTTTATTATTTAAAAGAGATTGGCTTTTATTACCTAATGTAATTTATTTTGAAGACAGTGTCTTGAATTTTAATATGTGCTTTTAACTTGTGTTTATATGACTTTATCCTCTGGATTTGATACATTTATTTACTTGTTTTTATTTATTGAATTTTAATGACATCCATTGTAATCATCCCACCTTGTGTTTGGCGCATTATAATCATCTCTGGTTTTTGCGCCATAATCACTCGCTCACTCACTCACTCACCCCACGAAGTCGCGTGCCGTGCCATAATCAAAATTACCAAAGCAATGGGTTCCATCTTTATATGTAGCCTACACCGCCATGAGGACAGCGGGCCTGCTGCTATGCTTTTATGTTACTGCGTATTCTGTGGAGAAAAAATCTACTTGTGCATCTGTTGCGCTTTGTGAGTCACATAAATTGCGCATGCTCTGACAGTACGCAATTTATGTGACCCACAAAGCGCAGCAGATGACAGCTGAGAGTCACTGCTGTACAGCCAGAGAAAATCCGTACACAAGGGCCAAAGCTCCCGAGAGGGCTGAACAAGCGACGTAATTTAATTGTTACATGGGCACACAAGGTCCTTAAAGGAAAATGCATTGGACTCCTTTACAAGTGAACAGTTATCATAAGCTTTAAAGTTGCACTTCATGAATTATAGGATTATTTATATCAATTTTATAGAATCGCATACTATGCCAGATCTTATGGGAAATTTTTATAGAACATGTGCAAGTATCAAAATGAGAATTCACAGAAATATTTACATTCTACTTACAAAGTAACTGTGTAGAACAGTTCCGAGTTAGGAGTAATATGCTTTGCCCAAAAGCCTAAATATTATCAGCATTATCATTAATGTATGCAATTACCTTCAGAGCTTTGTCAGACCTTTTTCATTTTCCACTAGACTAGTTCTTCACAGAGCATTCTAAGAGACGCATGTCCTGTGTTATGGTGCATTCATGCAAGTAATGTCTCAGTTTACCTGCTTTACCACAGACGGGCTTGTATGGACATTTTTGCAGTTTCACACATGTGTAACGTGAACTAGTTTTCGTTGGGAAAAAAAGCCGTAAAGACATCGCCGCCCCTTGGGCTATATGTCGTACCATTATTAAACAATCTGAGACGCCTTTTGATCTCATCTCGGATAATTGAAACTCATCTCGGAATAAACTGGAAGTCGAATTTCTACAAGAGTTATTACAGATGTAATAACTTGTGTACTGACGGTAGCGATGCCAGTGCATCAACCTTGATGCATCTCACCTTTGTAAATGCTTTCCAGAATTGTTTTCATTTGCATTGCCTTGAGTAATTTTTTAACAATGCCACGTAGTCTGTATAAAATGGTCTATCATTTGTTTTGCAATTCTGTAGATTTAAAAGTACATTTCTATCGCAAAAGTTATTAGCACCAATTTAAAGGCTTCATAAAGCAGTTTTATTTCAGTAGTGTTTTCTCATTACGATAATTTAAAAAAGTTTCATTAAAAATGTATTCTTTAGAAATTTAAATGTCAAACCAAAATTCAGCCTCTGAGTATCTAATATTTAATTCAATTACTCTAAAAGCAGGTTTTCGGATCTTTTCCGTTTTCGCACAACACGCGCCAAACGGTCTTCTTTAGAAACATAATGCGCCGACTTGACACTTCCAGCGAGAAAATTTTCATGAGCTAGCTAATTTTAACTGTTACAATGTTTAAACCTAGATGCACGTAAAATGCACCACGGTAATGTTTAATTATTAGTGCATAATATTTATGTAAAAGCTGCAGTATGTGCATCAGTATACAATTACTGTATTGTGTAAAATGTTTAAATATTTTAAAATGCCCAAATAGTATACAGCATCAACAAAAGTTTCTGTTAAGCTCCCTGACGTCGCGCTTCTGAGTCGCCAGAGTTCTCGCGTTGTACCGTTGCGGATTCCGGACTGCACCCGAGTAGTCCTAGCAAGCCGCCCGGGTGTCCGCATGCGCTCTCATCTGTTAGTTTATCGTAAATATTTCTTAGGTTAATTATTTTAATAAAAAAAAATTGAATGATACGTTTTAAAAACCTTATATCGATTATATTTTGTAAAGAAGAACACAGTTGCAGCTGCTAAGAATACATTCCACTGTAGATAATAGGAAATGGTTAAATGTGTCATATTTCCGTAGAAAATTGTTTGGCGCGTGTAATCTCGCAAAGGAAACAATACAAAATTCGATGTTTTCAGTGTCATCGAAATTAGTAACTTCCGTGAAAATGATAACGATATTAACCAACATACACGTATTCCTAGGTAAATGTCGCTTTTGAAGATTAGATAAAACATGTCTTGTCTCTCGCTCGCAGGTCGTGCTATGTAAAAAGTGCCTAAAATGAAGTTTCATATTAATTATGAGCTATGAGCTTCTGTATGTATAACTTTGATTTTCAACTTGGGCAGGCATCTAAATCTTCATTCTGTTTCAGTAATTTTGCACTAGTGTGGCAGCTCATCTTCTACAAACTATTCTCTCGGTTTTCTCCTCATCCTTGGCGACTTGTTATTGTAAATTCAAGACCAACTGGTAGGTGGCATACTTTCGTGGATTCAGCGAAAGTTCGTTTCTCCTGCGAGGTATGTAGTTTATTGGAACTTTACGAAAATCAGATTTCATGATCTATTTGTTTTTGTAAATGATGGCGAAACTATTTGTATAATATATCTGTTTGTTATTTTGCGTTTAGAACATTTGCGTGATTAAAGCATCTCCGAAGAGAAACAGTAACGCTAAAACTTGAAGATCCAATTTACCACATTCCTCTTTTATATCGTAAAATTTCTAGTAAAATAAAATCTATAAAAAGAGGAAGTCTAAAAATTTAGGTCTTTGATTGGCAGCAGTGCGTCACGATTCTACGAGAAATAGCCCCTTCCCCGTCGCCGAGTGGTTAAAACCGCTGAATACCGATAGCTCGACCCACTTTCTGTTCGAATCCAGGTGAAGGTTAATTGCATGGTTGATGTTCGTACACCATGTGTAACGTCCGCCATAGTAACATGTTCGTGTACCATGTTGCCCCATGTGTAACATGAATACGAGCTAATTTCCCTTTGAAAGTCCTCCACAAAGGGCATCCTCTTCTCTTAGTCTGATAGCTCCTCATGATTTTGTCGTATTCAAAGAATATACCTACAGGAAATAATTCTGATGTACCTTTATAGAACTTGAGCGTCAAAATTCATTCTCGAAAGACTATTACTTTTATTGATTTGTTACTAAGATAGCTTGAAAATTCAATTTAATGAAATATCAGTTAGGATAAATTGAACCAGTTTTTCTATCTTTTAGAGTTTCAATACAGGAAATATATTCCCTAGGGAGTGTCAGTAAAGGTTTTTTTGGTTTATTTGATTACGGCAAAGCACACGAGTGATTGCCTAAAGGGAGGGATGCCTACGCAGAGGACTCCGTAAGGAAAACTAGCTCGTATACACGTTACACATGGGGAAAACCACGAAAACGCCCATCCAGCTGTTCGCGGCATTCGAACCTCGGACCCAACTACCAGTGTTCAGCGACCTCTCGTACGTTGAGAGGCCTTATACATGCAAGAGTCGCTAAGTTTGGGAGACAGTTGTAAACTGGTACCATTTCTATTTAACAAAAATAAAACTGGGCCTTTTACCGATATCAAAGAAACTTAGTGATATAATTGGTATTTTAAAAGCTGGTTATACATTAAAAATTACAGATCAAAATGAGTCATTCGGACATCTGGATTCTGGATGACTGCAGGTCTTTATGTTATGCATGTTAACTGCTGTGCTTCTCTTTCACGTTTTAATGAATACTTAACTGTCTTTTTGCTTTCCAGAATTAAAGGAAATAAGATCACCAGTTGTCGAATAGCTCAAGTCGCTGAGCGAACGTCTGTCTTGGGGCAGTTTCCGTGCGGCCTTTCGTTTTTTTTTTTTATACATAATTTATTTAATAGCTTTGCATTTTATTTGACTGCTGTATTTCGCAATCTAAAAATTTATTTTATAATATTTTGTAGTATAGTAACAACATAGTAACGTAAACTACGATCAATCAAAATTACGATCGGGGTTAATGGTATCTTAACAGTACCATTAACCCCGATCACATTAAAAGGCGTCTTCTGTATAATCTTTTATTCCGAAACTTCAGTGGACTCAAAATAGTTTAATCTTCTAGTTTGCACTTCGAAACACAATTATTCTGCACTGCATTTTTAGAAAGTTGTGAGGGGCGCGAAGGAGATAATTTTTTCTATTTTTTTTCGTACAGTGTTGCCATTGGCTTGCTTTGAAATCGTTTAGTTTGTTAATCAAAAATTCGTTGAATTGTTACAAAATATGAAATCGATAATAAAAAATTTAAAATTTTTGGGCTTCCAGATGCCCATATTCGGGTAGAAAAGTACGTTATTCAAAATTGGATGGCTGTAGGTACTGTTGTTTTATCACAGTGCAAGAAACGTACATACATTTATGCCGATTCTTTATTATTTAATTTTTAAATATAATACAGGGCTGTAATAGTTGGTGGCAACAGTTTGAAACGTAAACTCTAACATTTATCGTGAACCAACGCAAAATGTCGAAACGAAATTAATAGCCCTTTTGGGCTAACGGCCTTTGGGTTAATAAATTTTTTAAAAAATCTGAAAGCTTTCAGGACTTGTATTACGCCCGAAGGGACTTTTTAAACGCTTTGTGTGTTACCTTTCCTTATTAAATATTATACTCTTCGCAATTAACACCATAAAATTATATTCAACCGCAGTATCGCAAAATAATTTTAAAATGAGCATATCTTTAGAATTTCCGATACAGTCTCGCACGCTGGAGATAAAAATGTTTTTTCTGTACAACGTTACCATTGCTCGCTTTGGAATCGTTGAGTTATTTAACCAAAAATTCGTTAAAGTTTTACAAAAAAAGAAATCGATAATAAAACAAATTCCAAATTTTAATTTTTCGCAGGAGGATTAAGTTATTCAAAATTGGATGGCTCTAGGTACCACCGTTTTATCACAATGCGAGAAACATACATTCATTTTTGCAGATTCTTCATTATTTAATTTCTTTAAATATAATAGAGGGCGGTAATATTTGGTGCCAGTAGTTTGAAAAGTGAATTAACGCAAAATGCCAAAACGAAATTAATAGCTCTTCTGAACTAACGCTCCTGTGGGATAATAAATTACAATGAAAATTTTAAAAATGTACATTTCTAAATTTGCGGATTTTTTTTATGTATTTAGAAGAATCAAACATTTGCGAAATCTTGAAATGTCCCCTAAAATTTGCAAGAATAATCGAGGAAATTCACGTAATGAAGTTATTGAATTAATGGTAAGTATCTATCGTGGACTGCAGTATTTCCCGCGTGAAATACAGCAACAGCATCATTTAGAGTTGAGTATCAACATTCATAGAAAGATGTTTCTCGTCATCAGTAATCTAGTGTAATACAATTGTTTCAATACTATTTCCAGGTTTCTGGCTATTTCACTTGTAAATTCTTCATACTGTGCTTCATTTCACTGTTCCGGCGTGATTTATACTGAAATCGACTTTCTTTTAAGTAGGCTTGTGGTCATGGATGGACTTCGATGAAAGGAAGAATAACCTTTTGGTGCTCATTTTCAAACAATTCGGGTGTCGTTGCTTACAAGCTGTATGGGCAACAATGTGACAGTTGCCCGGCTGAGACTTACGAACCCGCAATGTGGTATCCTGAAGAAATAGAGAAGGTATGTATTTTTGAATTTTTGCGCGCATGTTTGGATCATTTAATAAGTGGAAGAGGAGTATGCCAACTTTAAACTTAAGCAGGATTAAAACCGTAGATTAGCGTTGTTTATGGAAAGCTTTCGTATTTATTTGAAGGTAATTTCGAGAATCATTCTAAAGATTAATATCGGAACTTGGCCATAAAATGTAATTAATTCTACCAATGCTCTTTCCGCCTTGGATTCACAGCCTCGGTTCTCCTGCGGTCTGATAGTGGATAGTAATAAAGAGAGACGAATACCCATTAAGCCGATGTGAAGCAGTTTGTTGAGATATGGGTCTTCTATATTGCAAGATCATTAAACTGTTGTGCTGTCAGTACTCTATTATGTATTGCTGTTTGACACAGGACTGAAGTAACCTTACAGCATCCAGACTTTAGAGAGTTTGATAGTTTTGGTAGTGAAGCCAGTGATTTTATGACGGCTTTGACCATTAAGCCATCTCGAAATATCAGAATGTCTTGATTAACTTGCAGCATTCTCAAACACTTCCAAGTACAAACTTTCGTATCAGCGCAATTGCCTTGGCGCTGTCTGACGATTTTTCACTGCTAATAAACGGTGATTTAAAAATATAAACATTTTGCATTTTTATTCGGTATTTATCTCGGAAATTGAATCAATAAATCTATAGGAAAGGGTTTTTCCCTTTTTTGATTTGGTGGAAGTTTCGTAGCAGTTGCTTTCAGAGTAGATTCAAAGCAATTATTCCTTTCAGTAACTTTATGGCAAAATACTATTATTCTGCAGAAATTTTACAGCCATTTCATTCATTGGAGGCAAATCCCATAAAACGCGTATTTTAAAATTAAGACAAAAAAATGTCATGATTTACTAAAAATCTTTGGAACTTGGAATGGAACAAAAAGGAAAACAAAAGGAATTGACGACTTTGCATGGTAAAACTGGAGAAATTTTACGTGCAAGGTTAATAAAGTTTGCAGCATTTTGAAAATTTGGCTACATCTAATTAAGGTGGTTGTGCTGATACATAAGTGTACCTCCTTCGAAAGCATTTCACTGCACTAAAATTCTTATATCTAATAAGCCAACCTCACAGTTCTGGAAACATTTTGATTGTTTGAAGTCCAAAGTCAGATATTATGTGTTTTAGTTTTGCTTTGATTTGTAATTCGGAAGTGTTGATTTAATATACAGATTCAGTTTGCATATTTAAAATACAGAACTACAGTACCAAAATACAGTATCATCAAATGTGACTCTAAAAATTTCCGTCTTTGTGGCAAAATATTATATTCCTGCAAAAATTTCACAGAACTTTCTTCGTCTGCAGGCAGATTACACAAGAGCAAATTTCACAATCCAGCTGAAAACAAATATCGCAATTTATCTTAGAGCTTCCAATACAACCAAAACAACATTTGGCGACGTAACTTATTCAAACTTAGCTATCGATATGGTTACGCCCACCTGCGGCCGAGCTGTAAAGTCGCGGAGTACTGGTGGTTCGGTCCGGAGTTCGAATCCCTGCGTGGGCAGTTTCGTGGTTTTCCCCATGTGTGACGTGTATATGAACCAGTTTGCCATAGAAAAATCCTCTACGAAGGCATCCCTCCCCTTAGGAAGATGGCCTTTGTGGACTTTGCCGTAAACAAATAACCAAAATTGAAATGGTTACCTGAAGTATTGTTTTGCGTATGGTTGCCACAGTTTGGCTGCTACTGAAAATTTGGCTACTTCTAGCAAGGAGGTTGCGATAATACCAAAGTACTCTTTTAAGATTAAGATAAAAATGTACGTAAAAAAAGAGCTAAGGAAGTTGAGACAGGAGACCATCAACAGAGCAACTGCACCATCATTACGACTTTCAGCTTTTGTGCTCTATTGATGAAAACTATCTACCATCCGCTCCGCTATCAGCGGTATTTATTTGAAATAAAATTTTGCAAAGTTACAATGGTTGTGCAAATATACATATGACATACAGAGACATTATACAGTTCTTGTGGTGTTTACATAAATGGCAATTTTAACAATAAAGCTCATAACATGAATATTTAGAGAATTGTTACTTAAGTTGAAAATTTATGTTTACTGATTTTTATATGTTAATTTTGAAGAATAACCAAATTATATAATATAAAATGTCATTATACATATTAAGAGAATCTAGAAATAAATGAGTAGTCTGTAACTGTAGAGATAAGTAAAAGGTAAACAGACCTTGAGAATATAAATAGGTCTTGCATAAAAGAAGAAAACGGTCCTTGAGTTGTAGTCTTTAAATTTAAAATATTTGAGTATAAATTCATCATATTTGAGTAGACATTGTATTTATCATTGTACATGTTTATATAAGATTAGAGAGGACGTAATATGGGTAATTAGATTTGAAGTCCATAATTAACAGATTGTGTTAAATGTTGCGGAGAAAATGTTGAAGAGTACGTAGCGAGAAGTGGAATACTGAGTTGACATTCTGTAAGTTATAAAGGGGACACACTGATGAAATGTTTAAACACTGCTATAAATGTTTGTAATCAAAAAAGATTTCTTACTCATATCGTATTTGTAGAAAATATAGGCAGGAGTTAATAATATTGAAGAGAAGGTAAGAAAGGCCAGAAAAAGGTACAGAAACTGATCTCGCCTCCACCCGAGAGCGCACTGACGGCCGAATGGAAATTGCCCTAAATACTAGTAATTTGACGAACGAGTTTGCTGCATGGGCATTTTTTTTTTTTTCACTCATTGTGATAACTCCCACGAAGGCATCCCTCCCCTTATAGATATCCCTACTGTGCTGTTCCATGTTCAAATGAACCAAACCCATCTCGACGGCCCTTCCCCCCCCCCAATCTGCAAGTGATGCTGAAATTAAGAGGACGCTGGGAGAAATTGTGGAAAGATATTCTTCAGTTACTAGGGAAGAAAAGTCAAGCGAAATATCATTTTGAATGAAAGGAAAATGACGGTTTGTTACTGTTCCTAGTGTTTTTTCTATTCTTATTGTAGCGCTTTAACCCTTTTGCCCCTTTTTAATTGGTGTCTTGTAAAATGGTATTTTTTCCCTATCGTCCTTTGAAATACTGCATTATATTTATTCAGAGCTTCAGCCGGACCTTGGCTAAGCTTAGTTTTTCATATGAAATTGTGATTCCAACCGTAGCCACAAATAAGACGAGATATAGTATTTTATTCATTTATTTATCATAAATTTAATAACTGAATTTTTATCTGTTAACATTTTATTGCGTTTTAATTATTAATTTTTCTTGTTTTTCTTTTTTGAGGGTCTTCCGTAAAGCTCCGACACTTCTAGTTTTAGAAGTTAAGCCTTGGTAAGGAAACAAAAAAAAACTAAAATCTGTTTCGAATAGTGAAATATTGTCAACCCTAGCTATAAAAATTATCAATGAATTTTTAAGATTTGTCAAATGTCATTGCGCCTTATCTCTTTATAAACTACAATCCAATTTATTTTCAGGTTCTTATGAATATATGCAATCGAGTGGCTTATCTATTTTACGGTTTCGAAAAACCTCCTATTCAACTGAATCGCAGACCGGGAAAGCCAAGAAATCCCCATTATTCGGAGCGATGTCAAGCCTGTAAAGATGGCGTGTGTGCAGAACGCAGATGAGGCTATGTTCTAATATTCGAAATGCTCTTGACAATTGAACATTTTTGAATCAATCGATTTAACTAAAAAGTGCGCTGGTGTACCTATTTTACTTAAATGTTTAGAAGTTTTAGACATTTTCTTATTCTGTAGAACTGTTTATTCGAAGAACTTTTTGATATAATTTCTCAACGAACCATTTCGTTGTTTATTTTTAGTTCAACTAAACTGACTCTACTTTAAGCTGATCTTTTTGAAAACCATCTTGGATCCTAGATTTACAAACTTTTTGTAATAAGGATTCATATTTGCTTCAAAAAAACTTATTTTAATGTGTAGAGCCATTTTTAGTCAATGATGTTTTAATGCTTCGAATGTTTCTCTGTTGCGTGTTGCAAGAAAGGAAGTTTAAAATTACTATTGAATAATGGCTTTGTAAATTTCACAAATCTTAAAATTTGTTTTAAGTTTCATCAACTAGCTGCATTGCGTTCGTCGCACAAGTGAAAGCGATCTTCATAAACAAGCTTTTGTTTCCTTTTGTTTAAGAAATGAAACAATACCTTTCTAATGTATATTGTTTAATAAAAATTTTTGTTTAAAATATTGTTCTGAAATGTTTAACTAAGCAGCAACTATTATGTCAAAATGCTTATGAATTCATATTTCTCGATTCAATCTTTATATTATAATGAGAGTTGTGCTCTTATTTGTGACTTAAGAGTGCTAAAGAAGAGGGGGGAGGAACTGCGCTAAATTTTGAGTCCTTTCAATAGCAGTCGTGCATGTAAGATAGACCATATCTTTGTCTCTAAAACTATAAATTTCGTATTTGCATCAAATGCATAATTAAAATAAATTCGCGGGCCGCATAAAACTGCTTTTCAGGCCGCCATGTAGCCTCGGACCGCGAGTTTGAGACGCTTGCCTTAACCAACTTGAACACTTGTAGCAGAGGAAGTAAAACTTCGTTATCGCATGGTTACAGTTCTTTTCTTTAATAAAATACTGCCCGGTGAAATCGATTCATAACTCTACACGTTCACATTGCTGCATTTAGTAGCGCTGTCTATAATGTACATTCGTGTAGATACTTTATTTTAATGTTAGTAATGTCTTAATTTGCATGATTCATCGATTGGCTTACGTGTATCTAATACTAAAACTATTTTCGCTGTGATTTGAAGCGAGTCTTAAAATACGAGGGCACAATTCTGCATTTTGTATAAATTTAACTAGTTGCCACATTGTGATTAGTTAAGAGAATCGGAGTTAAAAAGTAACACGAAAAACTATATTTTCAATGCTAAATTAACAAATTTACTCTGCAACCAAGAGCGATATTCTTTTTACGTTAAGAAACATACGCAAGCGGAATTTGTCTTGTAAGTATGAACTAAGACGTTTTATACGATGCCACGAATTCAAAATAAATTAGAAATTTTTTTTACTCCAAAGGGGCTTTGTCCATGAAGGACTATTTGCGTTTTGCGATTCTGTGTCGAATCACTGTAAACGACGTATCATTTTTCAAATTGTGGCCACCAAATGTTAGTCCTGCATTGTATTTGAAGAAATCAAATAATGAAGAATCTGCTTAAATGTATATTTCTTGCATTGTGATAAATAGAGCCATTGAATTTGTGCATAGAGCCATTGAATTTTGAATGACGTAATCCTACTGCGAATATGGGCTGGTGGAAGCCCAAATTTCGAATTTGTTTTATTATCGATTTCATATTTTGTAAAACTTTGACAAATTTTTCATTAAAAAGCTCAGATTTCAAAGCGAGCAATGGCAGCGTTGTACAGAAAAAACATTTTTTATCTCCAGCGCGCGAGACTCTGTATCGGAAATTCTAAAGATATGCTCATTTTAAAATTATTTTGCGACATTGCTGTTGAACTGAATTTTGTGATTTAAGTGCAAAGAACAAATATATATATATTTAATAAATAAAGGTAACACACAAAATGTTTATTAAAAAAAGGCCCTTTGGACATAATTTAAAATCTGAAACCTTCACCAGATTTTTTTTTTTGTGTGTATTTGTTCCCCCCTCACCTCAATTTGGGGGAATCTAGGATTTTAGGCTTAGCAAAATTACAAAATCGGAATCGGTTGTCACAAGAATTACTATATTCATTCGCATTTAAATTTAGCTTCATTACTTGATTCACGACTTTTGTCTCGCTGTTTGAAGAAGCAAGAAATTTCCAAAAATGTTTTTAAGTAATACGTTAAAATGTTTTTACATAATACGTTAGAAGTGCTCAAGAATTTTCGAATAAATAGCTGTATGAACTTTGAATAAAAATAATCTTAGATCGTGTATTGTAGCACAAAATAAGACTGCTGAGCACTTGTCATTAGACCTGAATTCAAATCCCGGCGAATGGGCTTCTGTGCATGGTTTTCCTACATGTAATGTGAATGCAAACCAGTTTCCTATTCAGTCTTCCACGAAGGCATTCTTCTGCTTAAATAAACCGCTGTCAGGGACACCTTTAATTCAGTAATTATTCGCATCTAGAACTGTTATTTAGTAAAGTATTTCAGTATTTAGGAAGGATACAGTTCAACTGTGTATACTTAACTCTTAAAACTCATTAGAGAGCAAAATGACGTGCCCCAAGTGCTCGGCCGGCCCTAGCATTTAAAGCCACCCCCCCGCCCAAGTTTTAAAATCTGTAAATTTGAAAGGAAAGATTCATGAATAAAACATGATATACAGGAAAATAGGGTCCAATCTAATTGAATTAAGACAATAACACTTACAATATTTACGAATTTTTTCATTAAAATTGCGCAAACTTTGAATAACCAGAAACTAGAATGAACAATACTTTTAAAACAGTGAATAAAGAATACTAGTGAAATACATAAAGTTTAAACCTAAATTAAAATACTCTTTCGAACGTTTTTTCCTGGAAAATAGTGGATAACGTCTTTCAAAATATATTAATCAATTCATGTTCATTTTCGAGAACATTGCTATAATTTATTTTCTCGTAACCTAATCAAAATGAATTTATCCAAAACATTTTTTTCTCGTAACTCATTCAAAATAAAACGATTACTTAATTTTGTAATGACAAAATCCAAGATTGTTTTCCTCGTCATCCGTTCAAAATGAAAGGGTCTAAAGTTTGCTTTACCTGATTTTGTAAGTGACGAGGGCAAATAACGGTTTCGTTAATTTTCTGAACAGTACCGGTGTTCCGATACTTTTGTAACCGACTTGTCATGAATTACGCATGGTCCTTTCATAACGCTTTCTATTGTTGGGTCATAGTTAATACCTGTTTTGCATTTCAAAAAGAATTTCTGATACTTTCTAAGAAACTAGGTGCTTTGATGAGAATCTGATGCAGCATAGGCTTGCTTTGTAAATCTGCATGAATTTGCGAATTTCTGACGTACCATGGAGCATTTACAGTATACCCGAGTCAAAATCAATGTGCTAAAAAATATATTATTAATTATATTAAATAATCAATAATATGTTTATTTTAAAGCACATTGATTTTGTCTTTCTTTTTTATTAGCAGTACAATTTCTGTTTTGTTCCAAACCGAAACGGGGTACGGTAAGATTGAACGATTTAATGTTGCATTGTGCTGAGCTGAATGCAATAGTAAATATAGGTAGAATCTTGGCTTGGTTCTTTTGTGTAATTAACTACACATCTAAAGAAATAGATTAATTTTAAATAACAGAAAAGGAGAGGAAAACTTCTTTCGCTTTATGAGATCATTAGGTCCTTAAGCTAATTGTTTAATTCGCGCAGTTGGGTTAACCCAGTCTTCCCCATACCCTCAGAGGACTTCTTATCTTTGTTAAACACTTAACCGTCTTCCTCTCAGCCTCTTTAGCCATTGTTTCCATTATTTATTTAAATTTTTTCAGTTCGATGATGTGGAGATAACTGTAACTTTATTACAAAGTTGCTGCTTAAACTCCTTGGTCTCTGATCCCTGTAAGTGACGTGTTCAGAAAGACGGTATTTTTTGCTACTTTGAAAATTTCTTAAGGTCAGTTTTCGGTTATTAGTCCAAAGGGTCAGGTCTTAACTTTGATCTTCAAGTGTCGTACTAATAAAAGTACACTACTTGACCTAATTGAATTATCCATTTAAGGCTTTAGAATTGTGATGAATTAAATCTCGAAAGGATGTATGTGAGTAGTAAATGGAATCTTGAATTACAATTAATTCGAGATAATGTTACAGGAGTCAGGGAAGTGAAATCAGTTTACTAATCGGAATCGTCTTCGTTCCATGGAGTTTTCGGTCCGAAGACCTTTACTCCCATATATCACGTAGTTTTTCTTTAGTAAAAATGTAGAGTTCCACTGAGTATGGATGGGCCTGGAGCAAAGCGTATCTGGGCGTAAAATTAATAATGAGTGATGCGAGGAGTGTGAAATAACTTTAGTAAGTTAGAGCATAACAATGTGTACAAAATATTAATAGGAGAAGTACTGGAAGTCGATGCGGAAAGACATTTCTGGGCGAACTCTTGGTGAATTTCAGTGGCGCCATCTATTAGGAGAAAACAATTGTAGAGGTGAACAGCCTGTCTTTCGAAAATTATTAAGAAAACAGTCTTTTGTAAGAGGGGGATTTCTTGCTAGTACGAGTTACATTTGTTGCATAAATTTTTGTAGATGTAAAATACTAAGTCTTTTGTACATAAATAACATTTTTGTATAAAATACTAATAGTCTATACTAATAGTCACTATATTGATACGTAACGTGTGCGAGGCACTATCTTGGATAAATACGTGGTAAATAAGTGATAAAAGTGAAAATTAAAAACTAAGTATAGAATATATAAATTATGTACAAGAAATTTATGCAATTTTTTCTTTGGACGTATTTCTAGAAACTGGTTCCTAAAATGTTGAAGGACGGGTATAGAGCCTAGAAACCTATGGGAGTGGGCACCTGGGTTAATACCACTGGGCTAAGTTTTTTTCTTAAATTTTTCAGTAAATGTGTATAAGAGTCGTATTACCAATTTGGGTTATGATGAATTGTACGAGGCTGCGGAAGTTTTGGATGACAGTAAAGTCGTAATTGCCGATATCTTTGATGGTTGAATTTCTATGCTTGTCACAGGAGTAGAAGAAATTGTGATTTATGCGGATAAGGTCTTCGTCTATGGAGTTAATTTTGAGATCATTTTGAAGAACTGAGATTCTTACGAACCAGGGGGAGCATTTGTGATAATACGCAGGGCTTTGTTTTGACGAACTTGTAGAATTTTTCTGTTCGTTTTATCAGCTGCAGACCATGTAGTGGCGGCGTAGAGAAGGTTGGATTTTATACATTGTATGTAAAGGAGCCTTTTTGTATTGAGATTAAGTTTGGAAGATCTCCCCATGAGTGGGTAAAATATTCATGAGGGCTTTGTTAGCTTTTCCTTTGACATAGATAATGTGTTTTTTTGAAGGTAAGCTTTTCGTCCAGTATGGCTCCGAGGTATTTGACCTCTGAGTCACGTGGTGCTATTACGTTATTAATGGTGAGGTCAGTGACACTGTTGACTTTGTTTCTTCTGAAGTAGATGACTTAAGGACTTTTAGAGGAGT